TCATAATTATGTAGATTTGAATCTCAAATAATGAAATAAAATACTAACGATCTATGTCAAATAATAAACATGTCCACCGGCGATCTGCAATATTACCAATAAAACTAAACTAAACTAAAAATTAATACTTCATAAAATCCTTTTTCTTCATCGTTCGCCCATTCTATATATATTATTCGGAATTTTGGTATAAATTATACCAATTATAAATTATATTCTTTATAAATTATATAAAATCTAAATTATACCAAGTATAAATTATACTATGTGTAAATTATACTATTACGCCGCCGATCATTTAGATTACCTGCGAATTTCTTGGAGTTTCGGTGTGGCGCAGATCGATCATCATTCCGCGTAACAGCCGTAACACTAGTTTAGATCGGCACATGAGTAGTGGTAAATCGCAGCCAAATTTAGCTGCAAACCGCTTTAAGGCTTAATAAACAACAAGAAATTTAATAAAAATCATAAAAATCAGCTAATTCAAAAATTTTTCTAGAAAAGATTTTTTTATGCATTTAGTATAAAAACCATAAAATAACCAAATGGATTCGGCGAAATGGGTTTCGGTGACAAGTCATATAGCCACGTGATACACTTTTGTGATCTACATACATGTGTAACTGTGTACCTTTTAATATATTCCGGTGAAACATTGTCACACTATGGTCGTACACCGGAGCTTTTTATATAAATATGACATCGTTGCTCATTCATTATTCTTAATTCGTTTATTTTTTCTCTCCCTATTATTTCTATTTTTTTTTTGAAGAAGAAAAATGTCTAAACTTAATAAGGATATTCTTTTCTTAATATTTGAGGAATTACAAGATGATTCAACATTACTCTTTTCATGCCTAATGGTTAATAGAATATGGTGTGAAACCGTGATTCCAATTTTATGGAGGAAACCTTGGCACTATGCTATTGATTATCATAAAAAATTTTCTTTATATTATATTCTTACTTCTTATTTATCCAATGATATTAAAGAATTCTTAACAAAGAAAGGAATTCAAATTTCAGGTCAATCACTTGCATTTGATTATTTGTCTTTCTGTAGGAGTATCGATATAAAAATTATAAATGATATAATTTCCATTGGATCATCATTAGAATATAATAAATTTCTTTTACAAGAGGAAATTTACAGTTTATTGATAAAGAAATGTCCAGAAATAAAATACTTGAACATATGTGGTACCTATGAGATAGTACATCTTCCAGAAGCAAAGGTCCGCCTTGAATCACTTTGTGAATTAACATGTGACACATTGATTGATCCTAAGTACTTTTACAGATTAGCGCATATTTGTCAACAAATACAAAGAATTATCATTATTAACAAAAATTTAAAAGTTAATCATGGAACTATTAAGTTAATCGAATTTCAAAAGAATATAAAATATTTTAAATGGGTAGATGAATTTAAAGAAGATGATTTTTGGGAATTATTGGAAGATCCTTATACAGAAAATTTTAACGTATTAAAAAAACATGCAAATACTCTTAATCATTTTGATATAAACCTTCAGTTTGATGATGAGTTTTTCAACGAATATGATTATTCATTTCTACAAGATGCATTCCTAGAACTTTATAATTTAAAAATATTAGAAATTGAGGCTCCTATATTTCTAAATAATGATGATTATTTCAGTAAAGAATTGGAAATGGTAGCTTATCGTAACCTTGAAATTATAGAGATAGATGTTATAGATATTTATCAAGTTACTTGCATAGTTAAAAATAGTTTATGTCTTAGAGAATTAAGGGTTAATGATTTTGACTGGAATTATGATAATTATTATAATGACTCACTTAATTTTTTTCGTACAATTTGTGAAAATTGTTTTTTAATTGAACATTTAACAGTCCCTATGTTTTTAGAAAATCAATTTATTGAATTTGAAAAATTACTTAAAAATTGTCAAAATTTGCGATTATTATATTTAAAACACACAACAAATATTAAAGGAGGGAATGAGCTTGAGTTTGGGGATTATTTATCAAATGTATTAATTAAAGTAGCATCAACAAATCTAAGAAAATTAATAATTCCTTTTGATATTAGGTTTTCTTTAAAAACTTTAGAGACATTCTTTGAAAAATGGAAAGGACGACCTGCAATTTCCATTCATTTTGATGATTATTATTTTTATCAAAAAGATGATTCATATGTGAAACTGTTTGATAAATATAAAGTTGAAAAAGTAATTAAAGATATTTTCCTATAAAAAAAATTCTTTATTTTTATAGTTTTCACGAAAATTTTTTATAGGGTAAACTTATAGATAATTTAATTGTATTACTGAATTATCCATTTTAAATAAAAGACCACTTACAAGATTTACAATTATTAAATCAACTATGTATTAAAATTATAAAATAAAAAAAATTGAATCCAAAGAACCGATTTTGTATTTTTTTTTAAAAAAAATAAATGATAAATTAATATCATTCTTTACTAAACAAAAGCTTCATACGTTCAAAAATATACTAATCAAATAATCCAAACCAACTACCAATCAATATCCATCCAAAGAACAATTTGTCGAATGGCTAAATCATATAAAGTATAATTTTGTTCACTAACCAATTTGTCGATTGCCAATTTTGTCCAATTAAGCCACTTCCAGTTAATCTTTCGATTATATAATAAACTATGAAAATTAACTATAAACTAAACTATACTACATCAATAAACTATCTTAAGCTACAGTACATAATAAATTTGCGTAACATTATCGGTAGATAACATGATTTGATTCATCCATAACAATAGTATTTAATGTTTGTATAATTAACTCTTTCCCCTTTTTTAACTCTCATATAGTTGGTGTGTTGCCAACAAAAAGTCTCTTATGACTTTTTCTTTATATTCTAATATATATAATGTTAGCAGGGCATTTTATAGTAAATTTATTTTTTTTGTTTTTTGATTAGAAAAAAATATTTTAACTTCGTTATAGTAAAAATTTATTTTCACTTTATCATGTTATGTTTGAAACAATTTATGTTAAAATACAAAGAACCTGTTTTCGTTTCTGAAATAAAAATGAGAATAAAAGTTTTAGTGATTCAATTATTTGTCTATTATTGATCGATTACTCTTTTTGCGCTTTTGATCTTATCACTTATTGTATGTATTATGCTCACTTTTTATTTTTCTATCCTCCCTCTTCCACTCCTTTCCTTTTAATAAAGATTTTTTTTTCTGATAATTACAAAGCATTGTATTTGTATTTTTAATTACATCTACGATAGGTAAAATTATTTTTAAAATGTCTTAACATTATAGTCAACTTACATATAACTTATTCTAATCCTTTAATTTCCAGAGAATTATGGTAAAACTAATATTGGTCCTTAACGTAATCCATCACGTATTAGTATTACTGTATAAATATAAAAACATTTATTCTTCCATCTTAAATAATAAATTTAATCGGATTGCAGGTATTGGAATTGGTCTACAGTGATTTTGGATGTTACTTTACAGTGGGATATCAAAGTCACTGGCAAACTTTATTTGAAAGTTAACCGCATTAATTTGTCACAAGTAATCATAGAAAGTCTAATAAAATGTCATGATAAGACGCGTAGAATGGCATTATGTTCATGTCTCTAGCCTTAATATAATGAGTAATTTGCAAAAGACTTTAAACTTGAAATTACCAATAACTTTTCGTCTAACGAAGATAAAGCGCAACCATCCAATGCATCACATCATATGAGAGTTTGATTGATTATTTACGATCACTGGACGAGGAATTATGCGGTTTAATATTTATAAAAAAAGTCTACTCGGTGACTTTTGAATTCCACTATACATTGTACAGTAGTACATTGACAAATTAAAATACATCTCATAAATAAAATAAATTACTTAGACACCATTAAAGTTGTACAAAATTTAATATCGGGAGATTTATAATGTAAATATTAGTATCAAACTGAATAGAAGCCGCTCAAATGATTTAGTCTAAGTGACTTACAGTATGTAACTCATCGTTTTATCAATCAAAAGTTTCTTACAACTATTTAACATACAACGTAGTAGATGGCAAGCTAACCAAAAAATATTATATCAGAGTGAATTACAGTGAGATTCACGAGCTACAGTAATATATTTACCTATGACAAAAAAAGCTAGTGTAATTGTATTAAAAGCAATATAAACTATGAAATTAGTGAAAATATCAAACTATATGAAATTTTAAGTTAAAACTAACAGGACGTGACTTATTAAGCGAATACCGTGATACAAATCCTTTTAATCAACCAACAGTCGATGAAATGTATAAAATATTGATTCAATTTGAAATTTTAATAAAATTATCTTTGAATAAGTAAAATTTATAATAATGTAATTTTTAAGGCAACATTTGCGAAAATAAAATCTACAATAAATTATATCAATAGATGTTTATATTTTACATTAATTTATAAATTATTAACTGTGAATTAGTAAATATAGAAAAATTTGTTTGTAAATCAAGCTGAATATTGAATTTATTCTTCACAATTTACAAAAAATCACATTGTACAATAATGATCCAGTGTGCTACTGATTGTTGTGATTACGCTAATAAAGATTAATTGTAAAGTGTATATTTACAAATTTTAATATAAATAATAATTTTTCTACCTAATAAATTATTTTGAACGGGCTAATAACACATGATAGAGGATTATTTTAACAAACATTACTATATTTATCATTTTATACGAATTAGTATTTTAAATCATTATACTATTTTAGCATAAATTAAAAATTTATTAATAAATTTCAGTAACCCGAATTAAACTTAGTTTCATTTATTTAATATAATTCTTACCGCTTTACAATGATTTAAATATTTTGGATGCAAAATTAGATTGGCAAAAAAAAATTTCTTACGAACAATTCTTTTAAAAATTAATATTTTAGCAATAAAGAACTTTTGCTTTAATTTAAAAAAAGTTTTTTATATTACATATCATAGTCACATTGAAATATAAATATAAAGTATTTATTGATGTAATATAATTTCTTGCCAAATTACATAATTGGTCTGTTTTAAAAATAAAACTGTACTCTATATTTCCAATTGTTTGACAAGAGATAAAAATAATAACGTCTGAATATTTTCCTTAAAATAACACGTACGACGGGTTTAAAATAATCTAACATTCTTTATCAATCAGGCAAATTATCTTAAAAAGTAGTAGTTAGCATCATCAGAATTTAGTTTAACATACTAAAATTAATTTGGAATGACTTAAACAGATATAATAAATTTATGTATAATTACCTGATAAATTCAATTTAATAATGCAATTATCACATTCTGAACTATCATCTATTATTACTTTTAATATACAATAAATTGTTGTTAAGAGTAATTTTATATATGCAATAATAAATTTTGATAAATTTACCTGTTTCACTTGATAAATTAGTTACTTGATAATTGTTCCTAGAAGTTGACGCACTACCAATTTCTTCATTTTCATTTGAAATGCAACAGTATAAAACCCCTGATCGTGATAATTTTATATTAATTAATAGTAGCCAATTATAAAATGAATAATTATTAAAATTACCTGTAAAATTTGATGGGTTTATTGAATGTAATTTACTACTATTCGATGTTTTTAAATGATCTGATTTACTAGTTAATTCAAAATATTGTTTTATTACTCCATTGTTGTAATTTCTTAACTCTTCAAAAATAATATCATCAGTTTCAAAATGGTTTAATTTTTGAATTATTTCATCTACTGTTGGTCGATTTGAAGGTGTTGCATCCCAACATTTATTTAATAAATGAACTAAAGATTTAGGTGTATTTTTACCAATTTTTGGTCTCAACCCATTTTTACAGATATCTAACATAAGGTTATCATCAATTACATCATGAAAAGGTCTTTCTCCAGTGAATACTTCATTAATAATAATTCCAAACGCATAAATATCCGCGTTTTGGGTATATCGTTTTCCTCTTAATACTTCTGGAGCAATATAAGGTAAATTTCCATATACCTTATAAACATTTTCTTTCTTTTCATCACGGCTGACAAATTTACTTAATCCAAGATCAGTTATTTTAGCTCTATCAAAATCTTTAGTTAATATATTTTCAGAATGAATATCTTGATGAATGATATTTTTTGAATGAATTTCTTTAATGCCTTCAGCAATATTTTTTAATATTCTAATTTTATATGTTGTAATCAAATATTTGTTATATTTATCTAAAAAACCTCGCAAACTTCCGTGATTTATATATTCTAATACTAATACATAATTTTGTGTATTTGGTTCTTTTGATATACCATAAAGCTTAGTGATTTTATGAGAAAATCCTATTTTACAATATGATTGTACCTAAAAATAAATAAAATATTAAGTATATGCTGATATAAAAAATAAAATTTACAATTCACACTTACTTCTTGTAAAAATCCTGAAATATTATAACAAGAACTTTCAAGAACTTTTAAAACTACCTTTTTATATCCACTTAAACGCTTCCATTCTAATTCTATTTGATCCCATTCGTATATATTATTATTTAGCCATAAAGCACTATATACTTTTGAAAACCCTCCTTGGTTAATATAACTAATATCAATAAATGAACTATATGGTATCCATTCAATGAATTCGCTCATTTTATTACTTTTACAATAATTACCTTTAAGAATAACGTCAATATCCTTATTTTCACTTAAAAGTTTACCATAATTTAATTGAAAATGACACAGTTTACACCTCTTACACCAGTTAAAAAAATAGGATAAGAATTGACATTTTATACATAAGTTTTGATTATAGCCTTTATCATCAAACACTAGTATATAATTAGATACTAATGATGACAAATCTTTAGATATTCCATAAAATTTACATTTTTTTTTTTCAATTAACACCTAATGCATGACGTTTATATTAATGAAATATCTCTTTAGTTAAAATATAATCATTCAAAGAAGATGAAGTTTTAATAAGTATTGTAACTTACCTTATCAAAATCATTGACGTTATACTTAAAATTCACCAGTATTACTCTTTTAACTTCTCGACTCCAGTTAAATTTATCTTTATCCCAACTACGAATACAACCTTTTGGCCAATCAGCACTGTAAATTTCTTCATGATACGCAATATGTATTATATCTTTAAATTCATCATAAGGTATCCATTTAATTAATTCTCCTGGTGATCTACTTTTACAATAGTTATCTTTAAGAATCTTGTCAATTTCATTATTTCCACTTGGAAACTCTCCATAATTTAATTGAAAATGATTCAATTTACAACTCTCACACCAGTCAAAAAAATAGGATAAAACTTGACATTTTATACATAAGTTTTGATTATAGCCTTCATAATCAAATACCAATATATAACTATGTGATGTTGGATCCTTAGATATTCCATAAACTTGATATACATATTTTTCTGCTTTTAATATCTGTAATGTGTAATTTTTAATATAGTTACTTTTTACTATATGGCCATTTTATTAAAATCATAAGTTTCATTTAGTAAAAATACTCACCTTATATATATGGTCTAAATCTTCAGAATTTATTAGTATTACTTTAAAATTTTTAGTCCTTCGATCCCAGTTAAGATTGTTACTAGTCCAATCACAGATATAACCTTTTGGCCAATCAGCACTGTAAATTTCTTTATGATGCGCAATATGTACAATATCTTTAAATTCATCATAAGGTATCCATTCAATTAATTCTCCTGGTGATCTACTTTTACAATAGTTATCTTTAAGAATCTTGTCAATTTCATTATTTCCACTTGGAAACTCTCCATAATTTAATTGAAAATGATTCAATTTACAACTCTCACACCAGTCAAAAAAATAGGATAAAACTTGACATTTTATACATAAGTTTTGATTATAGCCTTCATAATCAAATACCAATATATAACTATGTGATGTTGGATCCTTAGATATTCCATAAACTTGATATACATATTTTTCTGCTTTTAATATCTGTAATGTGTAATTTTTAATATAGTTACTTTTTACTATATGGCCATTTTATTAAAATCATAAGTTTCATTTAGTAAAAATACTCACCTTATATATATGGTCTAAATCTTCAGAATTTATTAGTATTACTTTAAAATTTTTAGTCCTTCGATCCCAGTTAAGATTGTTACTAGTCCAATCACAGATATAACCTTTTGGCCAATCAGCACTGTAAATTTCTTTATGATGCGCAATATGTACAATATCTTTAAATTCATCATAAGGTATCCATTCAATTAATTCTCCTGGTGATCTACTTTTACAATAGTTATCTTTAAGAATCTTGTCAATTTCATTATTTCCACTTGGAAACTCTCCATAATTTAATTGAAAATGATTCAATTTACAACTCTCACACCAGTCAAAAAAATAGGATAAAACTTGACATTTTATACATAAGTTTTGATTATAGCCTTCATAATCAAATACCAATATATAACTATGTGATGTTGGATCCTTAGATATTCCATAAACTTGATATACATATTTTTCTGCTTTTAATATCTGTAATGTGTAATTTTTAATATAGTTACTTTTTACTATATGGCCATTTTATTAAAATCATAAGTTTCATTTAGTAAAAATACTCACCTTATATATATGGTCTAAATCTTCAGAATTTATTAGTATTACTTTAAAATTTTTAGTCCTTCGATCCCAGTTAAGATTGTTACTAGTCCAATCACAGATATAACCTTTTGGCCAATCAGCACTGTAAATTTCTTTATGATGCGCAATATGTACAATATCTTTAAATTCATCATAAGGTATCCATTCAATTAATTCTCCTGATGATCTACTTTTACAATAATTATATTCAAGAATCTTGTCAATTTCATTATTTCCACTTGGAAATTCACCATAATTTAATTGAAAATGATTCAGTTTACAACTCTCACACCAGTCAAAAAAATAGGATAAAACTTGACATTTTATACATAAGTTTTGATTATAGCCTTCATCATCAAATACCAATACATAACTATGTGATGTTAAATCCTTAGATATTCCATAAAGTTTATATTTTTCTTTTTCTTTTAATACCTAATGTTGGTGTTTATAATAAAATATCACTTAAAATAGAATCATTTATAGGCAGAAGATGAACGATTTAGAAAGTAATATAACTTACCCCATAAAAATCAACGATATTATACTTAAAATTCACTAATACTACTTTTTTAATTTTTCGATTCCAGTTAAATTTATCTTTATTCCAATCACAAATGCAACCTTTTGACCACAAAGCACTAAAAGTTTCTTTAATGATTACATTATGCGTAATATCTTTGAATTCTTTATAAGGTATCCATTCAATAAATTCTTCTGATAATCCACTTTTGGAATAACAATATTTGAGTCCATTGTCAATTTCATTATTTCCACTTGGGGATTTATCATAATTTAATTTAAAGTGGTTTAATTTACATGCGTCACACCAATTAAAGAAATTTGATTTAAATTTACATCCTAAACAAAGTTTTATAATCATTTGAAATTTCAAAGACTTTATATTACTTGTGTCATCATCCATTTTTTTTGGATAAAGTTATGATCAAGTAAAATACTGCTTAGGTGTGGAGTTATGATTAATTTATAGAGGATTATTAATAATAGTATGTTACATTATAATTGTTTCCGGAATTCGGAAATCCAAAATTACGAAATCGTAATTCCGTAATTATTTACGTATTACGAAATTAATTATGTACTCCCGAAATTCTGAAGTTCGTGTAACAGTGCGAAAAAACAAATTTCTCGAGATCTAGTGAATTTATTTTGATAATTTTACTACCATTCGATTCGTCTCACCAAAACGAATCCAATGGTAATAAGTGTTTGTGTATTTCATTCCTCTAGCATTGATATTGATGGAGTTAAACGCTATGAACTAATATTTAATGATTATTGATGTCAGAGCACGATCTAGTTATTGAATTTGAATGAATTTACCACCATTCGATTCATCTCGATGAGACGATTCTAATGTTGATAAGACCATTTTTCTAGCATTTATATTGACAGAGATACGATGCTATAAATATTTATTAACTATTGATATCAGATCACAATATAGTAATTGAACTCAGATGATCTTATTACCATTAGAATCGTCTCATCAAGACGAATTGAATGGTGGTAAAATCATCAAAAACAGATCACTAGATGCCGAGTTATTATTTATTAAAGTTTTTAAATATAATTCGGCCAAAATTAAGATTAGTAACTAATTACGCCAGAATACGGAATTTTTTTTAAGTGACAGAATTACGTAATTACGTATTCATAGTATGGTGACTGTCACATATAACCACACTAATATTATGTGACTTTAAGTTTTTATAAATTGTAAATTGAATAATAAAAAGCAAAAACTAAACCATTAAAATGATAGAACAACATGTACTGAACATTTCTATCGGGTTATTTATAGAATTTAATATAAGAATTTTAATTAATATTATGGGTTAAGACTAGTTTTCATGTAATTTTTATGGATTTTAAAAAAGAATTTTGCCGCTCACATGGCAATTATAACAAAGTACTTTTAAAAATAAGTTACACAATATAAATAAATAAAATTTCAAATTTCGGAATTTACAGGTGACAGCCACCATACTAAAATAATTTTGGACACAAGTATATGTTACACAAACGAGGATGGAAAATTATGTTATCAAAATCATGTAATAAACCGGAAATTCATAAAATAAAAATTTGGTCCTGCACATGTAAATGTTCTAATTTTGTAAATTCCTGCAGTAAATTTATTTTATGAATTTGAGTTAAGGCACTTTCGTTCAACACGCAATAATAAGAGATGTTTCTATAGAAAACTATTCCTTTATGAAGTTATATAATAAATGAATCTCGAGGACATTGAAAATTTTATCGTCTTTTATTTTGAATACAACTATATATGATGAAATTGGCATAACCGAAAATGAGTCTTCAGAACAAAGACGTGATTTCGAAAGAACATTAGGATCTACGACCCGCAGAAATAATAGCTAATGTAATGTAACAAAAAAAAAGGTTTTTTTAAAAAAAATTATTAATTAATTAAATTAATAAATTATAAGATCAATATTAATTGAATTATTTTTAATTTTTTAATAAGCCAGTTAAGTTTTTG